GAACATATCAAACCAGGTCACGAAATTTCAAAAGCACTTCCAGTAAAATATGAATTCGTACGGCACGTTACGATACAGTACAAGCGTACGGTATCTGCCACCCGAACTCGAACCTTCACGTCATGGTTCCGGAAAATATTTCATGACATTGGGTAGTTTGAGGGAAACAAGGCCTATGGAAAGTGAGCTACCGACATTCCAACAGGTGTGAGCATGTTGAAAACGCACGTGCTGAAAATGTAAGCCTCACGCGTTTACAGACTCAGAACCCTTTCTGAAAAAAATTATGGGCTACTGAGGTGCCTCGCTTATCGGAAGCTTCGGAATTTCAGGACATAACACCGATTTACAAGACACAAACATGACATCATCACTAGCCGAGTACTCACGTTGTCGTTCTGGTAGTACTGTTTCGTCTCGTTGTTTCGATACTCTCCGCGGATTGGGTGGTTGTTGTACACGTGGTTACGCAGGCGCCGTTTCAGCTTGTACCAGTACTTTGGCAGGCTGGCGGAGGCGGGCGGCAGCAGCGGCAGCAGGGCCAGTAGCATCAGCAGCAGCAGCGCGGTGCGCGGCCACCCCATGGCGCCGTCCGTGTCGCTCCGGCCAGCGGCTCGCCTCCCGCCGCCGGCGCTGCCTCACCTCCGGCGTCCGGCAGCGCCGCCACGCTCATTGCCTCCATCACTGGTGGCCTGCCATTGGCCGCCACCGATTTGTGGCCCGACGCTCGCTGATTAGTGCATCCGCCCACCACGGGCCGCCCTCGGTCCGTCGGTGCCCTGCACGGCCCTCTCCGTCTCGGCCGAACCGACCCCTTCAACCACACAAGCCCACTCCTCTTTCTGCCATCGCATCGCTACCTTTTCTTCTTTCGTTTCCTCAGGGGGGTAAGTATGCTAGAATGCACGTTACTTTTCAGATTATTTTCCTTGTGCGTGCCTGAGTCTGGTTTTATGGATATCATTGACCGACCAAGGTCAAGGGGTAGAAACTAACCCCGAAGCTCCAGCCGATATCACTTTGGATAGCTTTCGAGTCCAAATTACGCTGTCAACGCCTTGTGACAGCACTACGCTTCTTCGCTGCACTTGTGGCGATCGCCATTGTCATGACAACCACCGTGGCACCCCTACTGGTGTGAATAAAAGAATGTGATTGGACCGGAGGGCGGCAAGGTCCCGTTCACGAGAAGTGTATTGGTTGAAATTTGAACCGGTGCACGATTATGGACCATGTGATACTCCCGTTCCCCAAGCCAATAAACGCCTCGAAAATAGCTCCTGTAGTAAATGCCGTAAAGAAACCATGGTGGAGAAACCAATGCCATAGTGCTATGTTTCGCTTAATGTTCGAGGCAACAGCTCAAAAATCGCACACCTTTTTGAAGCAGAGTGTTTCAAGCTTCCGCAGCATAAATTACACAAACATTTGCTCACAAAAGTGCGTTGCAAACATCACGGAACACTTACATTGGAAAATGCAAAGTAAATAAAATATAGGTATTGCGGTTATATTGATGGGCAGGGAGGCAAATAAAATTTCTCTCGCAGGAGCGGGTGCTTCAAATAAAAATTCTGAGGTATTCAGGAGGATTCTGAGAAAGCTATTGCCACTGATCAAACCGTACTCGTCTAACCTAACAATGAGATAAAAGTACAAAAGCGCGGCATGCTCGCTCTAACCCCGCGCTCTAGGTCTGTCAAAGTCTCGCGCCCTTGAGGGGGTAGGAGCACTATCTGCCTCGTCTCGTTACGTTTATGAGGCTCCAGAAAAACTAGAACCATGATCGTTTCAGAGACTATTACCGGAGGTGGTTTAGGGTCAAACGAGGTCAACTGCAAAAACTCTGTCATTGGTAATCGCGAAAGAACACGTTGGACATCAAAAGCACTACACACATAGACACAGCCATACCTCAAAGGTGGCCGGAGTCCATTTCAGATTGGGTACCATTCCGTACGATTTCAACAAAAAGATTCTTAAGTTCAAACTGCCCTAAATTTTCTCGGTCTAGACCCCACCATCCCCAATGGGACTGATAATCCCGCGATCTGTATCACCGTATTAGTCCAGAATCTTAGCATTATAGTCTGGATTTTGGAATCTCTATAATATTTATCCCATACGAAATCACTTCTCAAAAGGCTCTGATAATATGTGAAAAATATCAAACAAAACAACCATAGTATTTTCTTAAGAGTGAAGAATGTGTGTGGTTTTATGTCCAAAACATAAGTTATAACTCGTGAATTATTGTAAAAGCCAGCTGCGTTCAGCAAGTATGAGTTTAAGTCTGCATCGTTTCACGCGTCGTTTCGCGTGACCTATTGTTATCTCATCATCCATTGTAATATCACAGCATGTTTTCAGCGCAGGTTTGGATTCTGCGTCCAAAATTACCTTACGAAACTGCCTATTTCGAGCTCAGCATGCGTGTTGCAGAACGTATCCATGTAGTTAGGTTATGATCTTAAACAATGTTACGTGTTGTAAAGCCATATATATGTGTTGTATGCAAATTCCCCTCCCCAGCCCGGCGCGGGTGAATTTGCAGCTTATTGGCCTGCCTGTTGATGTATATATTTTTTGGCAAAGGCTCATAAAGAAAAAGGCCATTCGTTTAGGGTGTTTGAATATTCCGGTGACGACTTCGCGATGGAGTACGGTAGTCGTGTGAATTTTCGCAACTACCTATTGACGAAAATGTGAAGCGAACATAGATATAGGTGAACTTTGAACTCCCGTTGCCGATATTGTGATATAAGAGGCTAGTGATGTGAGCATGATCTTATATATATATATATATATATATATATATATATATATGTATACTTGAGCCTGATGTACTTAATGCAACGATGTTGCCAAGAGTTGCAATTGAGTATTGGACCGTTTATACTTTGAATACAAATGCTCGTTAGATTTGTCTTTGTTTGATTTCCGTGCTAAACCGTCGTGTTTTGGTTACTATCACGTCATCTTGTAACCGGTTAGTGTGACGCAGCGTTTTGCCGTGGCTCCAGGCTGTTTGCAGGGTAATGAATCAAAAACTCGGCGGACTGGTGAGTACCATCAGAGGTTTATTTCTTCTTCTTTCATCTTGTTGGTCTCTGCCGTGTCAGGATATCAAACACTGCTGTAACCACCACACGTCATCTGACATATGGACCCGGTTTGTCTATGTTAAGGCTGACGTTCTTGGGCTTGGGCAATTGTTTTCCTGTTCTACGCGGTTTAAAGTGTGTTTTGGTGTCACGCTCCAACGCACGTGCCTTAAGGTGTCTGGGATTTACCAGCGGCGTATCATGAGGCCAATGCTGAGCTGCGCTGGTTTAGCTTTCCTATGCATGGTTTTGTGAGCACCGACTTGTGTGCGGCTCGGCATATGGTTTCGTTGAACTTGCATCGCTTTTGGACCTTTGTCCTCCATTTTATGGCGAGCTTCTGGAATTTATGTGGTCACAAACTTGCTCCGGTGTTGTTTGTTCTAAATGTTATGGCTATATTACTGATTCGACGGCTGTGTAGTTCATTTTTGATCGCGTGTGGTTATCGCCATGCTGTGGGTCTGAGCTACACTCCGCTCAAGACGGGAGGGTGACACGTGACATTCAAGGAGATACCGTCCACTAGAATGCATCGATTTGGACCCCTTTCTTGGAATTACACATGCAAAAGTGAGAGAGCACGTAAATACGTGATACAACTGAATATTTCTGCTATCGAAGCAGGCGATACAAAATCTTCGCTCCTTGTTAAGTCAACGAAAAGCAGTTCGTTGCGACCGGTATGCGGGCAAAGTATCATAGCCGACGTGACCATGAAGCCAACGTTACGACGGAAAGGGAACTACCGTTCTCACAATGGCGACACGAATAGCTGGCACAGTTCCTACTGTCCATGTCCATAACAAGCCCGGTCGATCATTCTATGGTTGTACGAGCTTCACGGAATATGAGCGCGGCCATTTTTGATTACCCTTGGGAGCGATCCTGCCAACAGAGACAGAGCGCAAGAATACCGGACGAATGGCAATCCAACCTTCATGACGCGCGACAGATCACTGAAACCTCATTGCTAATGGGTTTGTAGACTCAAGGGTCCTCGCAAAATGGTTGTAACGCTGCGGAAACACGGGGACGATGCGGGGCCAAGTCTGATGTTGTTTCTGCTTAGAAATCAAAAGCAAAACTAAGTGCGTGAAAACGAAGACGGAAAATGTTGGTTTAACACGCATCCGTATGGTCAGTCCCATATTACACATTTGGCCGGATGGTCGGCTGAATATTACATATTTCGCCGGATGGTCGTCTGAATATTACATATTTGGCCGGATGGTCGTCTGAATATTACATATTTGGCCGGATGCCCGGTTGAATACCACACTGTGACTTGGCTCGCTGCGTTTATTACGTGCAGTATACTGCAGCCGGTGTGTTTTGTTGTGAACATTTTTCGTGACGGTTAGTTCCATTGCAATTTCCCCGACATTACTTTTTCCTCAAAACCTCGTCGATATTCCAAGCATTATTATTAAGCATTCTGATGCACCAAAGATGCATTTGAGACCTTCTGTGATGCGTTAGGTTGAATGGATCCGAGCATCAACAAGATGGAGGTTGAGAAAGAAGACAGCCCTAAAAACACCGCCCTGGACTGCATAGGAGTGATGCCAGGGAAAACCATACAGACGCGGAACCACCGCGTTCCGGGAGCTTTGGGAGCTTGACCTCCACGACATTTGGGGGAAATTTGTCACCAGGGTTATGGTGGCGCATTGAAAACAGCGAATAATGTTTCTCAGCCTCCCCCCCTCCCCCGCCACCCATGATTCCGGGCCAGTTCAAGCGCTCCTGGTAAAATGAGCGACATGAAGGCTTGCGGGAGATGAATGCTCGAATGTCATGTGTAGCAGCTTGATGTGGATGCTGAATGCAAAACCGATCAAAGCATTCGCTTCACCTACCTCTCGCCCTTTTCGAGCACCGAAACTAAGCAAAAAACATGAAGTCTATTTATTCTTAGATGACCGTCTCTACATGACTACCCAAAACGAACAATATGTGACACATATCTGGCAACATATTGAGCTACCCATCTTCGTTGACTCGTCGACAATATAACATTTTCCAGTAAGTATGACCTTCCTCAACATGTTTTGGGAGGCATATTGGGATTTTGAGCAGAACCATCCAATGCAACGTCAAAGACGCTATGTTAAACAGTTCATCAGGATGGGGAACTCGAGTCCCTCCACATAGCTATATATAGGAGAAATCCCACATCCGCGCTTTGCAACGCCCTTACACCCTGCCTCGAGCAGTTTCTCCGCCCAGGGATGGAGCGCCACACCATGGCGTGCTGCCGCGCCAGTGGAGGTGAGGGACGGTGCCCCAATGCCTCGATCACATCCCTGAGTCTCGAGCCGCAAGAGAGGCGATACCACGCCCATGTCCGCAACGCTCAGGTCACCGGCAGCCGGCCGGCGCGCCCGACCCCGTCGACGACCCCCGACCGGGCCGGCCACACGGCCGCCCTTCACTCCATCTGGATGATGAAGTCGGTGCGGAAGCCCCTGCGGTCGAAGGCGTACTTGTTGTCGGCCTGGCACTCGTAGTAGCCAGCGTCCTTCTGCTTGGCCGGCGTGATCTCCATCCGCGACACGGTGGAGTTGGCGCCCACCTTGTACTCGGTGATCTGTCAACAGGGACGCTCACTACAGTCGAGGCCACGCGCCGGCGGCCGCAGCGGTCAGCCGCTCTCGCCCGCACGGCGCGGCGACAGCGGCTGAACCGACCAACGCAACCAGAGCGGTGCACCACAGCCGAACCCATGCGCCCGTCACAGCACACCGCGGGCTTACCTGTGGCGGCTCTTTACAGTCACGTTAATTGTTTTACCACGCGTTGACCCGCTAATGAATCGTTTCAGAAAAGGATGGTTTACCTTACCACGGACAATGCCCAGTAATGGTGCAGATTTTAGTTTTGGCATGATGTTTATGTTTGGGATTGATTCGGACTGAAGGCATGGCAAATTGCAGCGTTAGGAAATGCAGCGAAGCGGAGCAGTTAGCAAAACTTAACACGCCAATGCCGCTCGGTGTGAGCCAGCAGTTCAAAGCGAGCCAGACCACACCACCAATATCAACATGCGTCGCCTTCGGTTGGTCAGCTGTGAAGTTGCGCCCTCAGCATCTACGCATGCGGGGTGGCACCACCTCTCCTCCGGCATTGGGCCCCATGGTCTGGACGTCGGGTTCTGGGACAAAAAAAAGCCGAAAATCTCACTTGGCGAATGCCTTTTTGTCGACTACTGAATGTTGACTGCAGAATGGCGACATGTTAAGATGTCGACGCAGCGGAAGTTCGAAACGGCTAAATGGCAAACTCCAAATAAGCAAAGTTTAAGAGTCAAAATGGCAAAATGGCAAAAAGTTTAATAGCCGCCCGCAAAATGGTGACGAATCAAACAGTCGATATGCCACATTGGCGAACGGCTAAATGGTGAGCTGCGAACATGATGTCATAGTGACGAACGACTAAATAGCGAAATACAGAAGTGTCGTATTTGAATTTGGTATTGGCGCTGGTGAACGGTGATGCGAAAAATGTTTTCCATCATATCTGGGCTTGTCTCAACGTCTTCAAATGTGTAACATTCTGTTTTAACAGCTGACCATTTAGCCGTTCGCCAAGGTGGCATCTTGTCTTTTTGACGCGTTACCGCTTTGCAGTTCGCCATTTTAGCCTGTTCATTTTGAGGCATGTCACCATTTTTGCGGTTGTCATTGAGTCCTACGTAACTTTGCGCGTCGCCAGTCTTCCATGCCGCCTTTTCGCAGTTCACCATTTAAGCGATTCGACTTTTTATATCGTTAACTTTCTACATGTCGCCATAAGGAAGTCGCCGTGTGGACAAAGAAAAAAAAATCCGCAAACTGCACACTGCAAGTCGACTTTCGGTCCGGGCAACGCAGATACCGAAATCGAACAATTATTTTATTGAGAAATTATGATGTGTGTCTGCTGGTCTACGAAGTCAAGCTGTGACAAAAAAGACTATCCCTGTCCTCTGTTCCGGCCCCCTTCCGTAGAAGGAAGGGGGCCGGAATCGACTTTTCTTTTGGTAGCCGGAGCTTTTGGTTGGTAACCAGAGTTGTGGCCACTTCACGCAACTGTCATAAAAGGTCGAATAGGAATTGCCCATTCCAATCAGCCCTGCAGAACCCCGTGTTTTTGCTATTACCACATGTGCTTGTTTTTCACGTCGTCATTTGGCTTTTCGTCATTATGGCATGTCGCCATTTGTTCAAACATGACTCTTAAGCAGTTTAACGACATTCAAGACTTCACTAATTTGGCATACTGACGCATTTACGTCTCGTCATGCTGCAGTTCCCTACTAACACGCGCTCGGGTGGGGGTCAACTTGACCCTCCGAAGGTTTTTCCAGTGTTTTTCGAACGGCGCGGGGAAAGCCACGCCAAATTTTGCGTAGCTGTAGACAATCGAATAGCGGGTCGTTTGGCATCAAAATTTTTATGCGCCTTGTAAGGTCAATGACCTATGGTAGGTCAAAAAGAGGCTTTGGTTTCAGCGAAGTCAATTTCTAGGGAATCGTTCAATGTGATCCAACAACAGAATGTTAGATGAAGCCATGATCTCTGAGATGCTTTCTCAGGCGACACAAATATTGGATGAGCAAATTACGTTGACCCAAGGTCAGACATGAAGGTCAGACCAAGGTCAAGACCAGCCTGTTTTAATACTCTAGGGCTTGCTGCGTGGGGTAGTTTCTGGTACTCATTTCGAATTTGTTGATAGCAGGAACCGCATTGTACATCTCCTATGGACTTCTTAGAGATCATGATAGGCCATTGACCTGAGATGACCCAGGTCAGCACTTTGTTTTTGGGAACATACTGCTTAGCGTAATCTTTGTCACTTATTCAAATGCAAAACTCAGAGCAGTCTTGTATGAATTTGGTCACCTTCACCTTTATAAAGTTAAACAAGATCACTGGCGTTTAATAAGTATGATAACTTTTGCTTAGAAACAGCTACTTAGGTTCTGTGAGCACTTTGGAGACCAACCTGAAATTTGACTTTGTCTGACCTTATTGGACCCGAGGGTCATGACCTAGGAACCTCAAACTCTGACTCAAGTGAGTTCAGGTACAGGTTAACACACCCTGCGAATTTGGCGTCTCTGGCTTTCTTAGTTTCTGAAATCTCAGGGGAGGGGGTCAAATTAACCCCTCCCCCACCCGAGCGAAGGGTATCTAGCCGGCTACTCGGGCTCGTGTCAAGCCGTCCGCCAATATGGCATGTCGACTTCTGGGTACGTTGCCATTTTGCAATTCGCCATTTGGCAGTTTGCCACGTCTGCATTTTGTCATTCATCCATGTCGCCATTTCGCAGTCCGCCATTCTGCCGATTCGTTTTTTTGGCACGTATACATTTGCCACGTCACCAATATGGTAGTCACGATATAGCTGTTGACAGAAAGGCATTCGGCAAACGGCAAGTCGCCTTTTCGTCCGGCCACCCTGGGCGGTGAGCCCACCGAGTCTAACAGTATGACAGTGCACGTAGAGTTTGCTTGCTACCAACCTTGAAAAAGTTGTGAGCGTAGACTTCGATGCCATTTTTGTACCACGTAATGTGGGGCCTTGGCTTGCCGGAAGCCGTGCACATGAAGACGATCTTGCTGCCCAGGATGTACTCCGACTCGAAGTGTGACCACTTGGTGATTTGGGCACCCTGGGGATCAAGACGCGCTGCTAGAGGGCGCGGAAGCGGCGAGCTTGATGCCGCATCCAGTAATCGTGCGGCAGTGGTCGCAACTTAAGCTTAGTGTTATTTTTTATCCAACACAGATGCCATGCCTTTTCCCTAGAGCTGGAAACCCATCTGGCGCAACCTGCCAATGACCGTTCACCAAAGTTCGCCGTACCGGTGTAAGGGTGGTGTAGGTCACATCCCGCCTGCCCGTTACTTACCACCCTCCATCTGGCAGCACCGGCTGGGTCGCGGCGTAAGGGTGGTGTAGGTCACATCCCGCCTGCCCGTTACTTACCATCCTCCATCTGGCAGCACCGGCTGGGTTGCGGCGTGAGGGTGGTGTAGGTCACATCCCGCCTGCCCGTTACTTACCACCTCCATCTGGCAGCACCGGCAGGGCTGCGGCGCAAGGGTGATGTAGGTCACATCCCGCCTGCCCGTTACTTACCACCTCCATCTGGCAGCACCGGCAGGGCTGCGGCGCAAGGGTGATGTAGGTCACATCCCGCCTGCCCGTTACTTACCCCCTCCATATGGCAGCACCGGCTGGGCCGCGGCGTAAGGGCGGTGCAGGCCACATCCCGCCCGCCCGTTACCTACCACCTCCTTCTGACAGCACCGGCTGGGCTGCGGCGCTGCCATGGACGGCACCACCGCAGCGCCGCTGGCTGGAGGTCGCGAGGTCGTGGTGCTCACGGGGGGGGAGGGGGATCAAAGCGTCCGGCCGCCGGGCGCCCACGGCCACGGACCGCTGTTGGGAGGGGGGGGGCCGAGTTGACAGTAGGGGGATGAGGAAGGGCGCCTCCCTCCAGCGGATGGAGACACCACGCTCCAAACAGGCCTGGCAGACCGGTATTGGGAGTCACTACACCAACAATGTTACTTGTTCTTGCCGTTCATTCAGGAACTGATCGCGGCTAAAACGGTGAGAAAGGAGCTTCCTCCAAAAGTGAGCAACAGCTGAGTAATGTTTCACCAGACTGTGACTGCCAGTCGTCGTTATTCGGATATTACCAATCAACCGTCCACCGTACCGGTGGCACATACCGTACCGTCCACCGTACCGGTGGTCAGTGCTGAACATTGACGATGGTGCGGCAAACATGGGGGCAGGTTGCCGTCCTGCGAGCACCACTCACGGGTCTCATCCAAAATTGTCACTCGGCAGGTACATGACATGACATACCCACTGGACTTGCGAACCCAGTTTCCTGAAAGACTAGTTTTTGTAAAATTGCATTTCAAGGTGGCCGCGTAAAGGGATGTCCGTAAATGAAGTTAGATGTACTCCATCATTTTCACCCTTTCCCTCCTATCTGCGCGCTGGCAACGTTGGACCACGCTCTGCTCGCCTTGGTTGCCCTGTTTTCATCTTTGGAAAAAAAAACGTTTCACGGATTACGACATAGCTTGTAAGTTGCAAGTACGCCGTAACCGTGCGCAAGGTTACAATTTGGTTACGCTGCACCAAAATTATCTCCTTCACGCGCTACGTCATTTCTGTAAGGTCCTTCGGAACGAGACGAGCTAAGTAAGCACTCCGACTCCGAAATATTCGCTGTTAAGTGTAACGCGCCACCACGCCAGTGAAAGATCTTGCTCATCGTAAACGGCACACTTACACTGCATGCTGTCGTGAACGGCACACACACTGCATGCTCTCGTGAGCGGCACACTCACACAGCATGCTCGCGTGAGCGGCACACTTACGCTGCATGCTGTCGCCTGATGAACATGTAGGCACACTCATCTGCATTCGTAGGGCTTTGAAATGTTCCTCGTGTCATCAGCTCATTAATTCAAATAACATTTCGGAGGGAAAATGCTGCAATTGTTTTGGACTAGTACGGATTTGTAACGTAAGCCTTTGCAAAGTGGAAACAGCCTTGCACTTAGAAGTAGCGATTGTACAAACCAGTCCCATGAAGGAACAGCTAAGTTTACCGTTTGATCGCTGTTGAAAAACAAGAAAAACAATACATCCTCTTTATTGAAAGCCTTCTATGAGCGTCAAGTATAAGGGTCAATGCAACATGAAGATTCAATTTCTTTGGTTTCTGCCCCTATGGGCGACGTCCGTAGTACTTAGTGTTGCGCGCACGAGACCACTACGGGTCGATTGCTGTCATAATTGATTTAGTGGATTCTGAAATAAGAGATGATGAACAACGTGTGTATGAATGACACCGAGACCGTACTTAAATAAACTGCGGTTGATCGTGAGCAGTCTTCCATGGTGACAAGCAGAAACGATCGTCAACGAAAGAAAAATGGCGGTGAACGTGCAATTTTGGGTGTGTAAATATCGCCCTGGTACATAACCCACGGGTTACAGGGTCTGAATTCGTCAAACTCTCCTCGCGAAAGGCAGGTGAGCTGTCCGAGAGACGGCGTGGCCCGGGTCCGATCACACACAGCCGGACACCGCCATCACGGAAACATCCCGTCACCGGTCGCGCATCGCGGTGGTACCGCACCCCGATCGTCGGCCAGCGCGCCGACATCTCAGCAGCGCACTCGCCCGGTGCCGCCGCAGCACGCACCCACCGCGGGGAGCTGTCGCCAGCCCGGACCGGCGCCCAACCGCCGCCCACTCACGTTGGGGTTCATGTAGTATGACTTGGAGGCCGGACTGCGGAAGGTGCCGATCATGGGCATGTTGCCGAAGCGGTTGCGGCGGCCGCCGCCACGCCGCCGGCCGCCGCGGCGCGCCTCCGCCGGCTGGCCCGTCACGAGCAGCAGCGCCAGCAGCAGCGCCAGTGCCCGACAGCGCCGTCCGTACCCGGTCATGGCTGCTGGCCCGTGCGCACCGCCGCCGCCAGTCGGGTCCGACTGGGGAGATCGCGCGCGAGAACCCGGCGCCACCACCAATTGGACGGTATCGCCGCAATGGGTCGCTTCCCGCTCGGGGGCCACCCCAGCGGAAGGTGGCGGACGGCGGCGAGGCAAGGGCACGAGCGGCTGGCTGTTCAAGGCCAGACAAACGTGCTGCGCGCTGAGCACTCGCGACGGAAACAAGACATCCAAATCGCATTTGTCTGTATTCTCACCCAACGGCCATGATGGTGAGCAACACCCGTCAGAAAATAAATCCCATCGCACACATTAGTCTAATGCCTTCCGGTATGAACACGGCCCAGAACGCTGCGCAGCACAAACGACGGACGCACCGATCGCTGCCGTGCAGCATTTGAATGGAAGCACCCCAAGCTGCATACAAAAATACCCCGCTGGCACTGTCATGGCGGGAAGCGCCGCGTCTGGCCGGCGCGCAGTCCGATCGCCGGAGCCCTCGGTCACCGGCGAGGGACCGACAGCGCGCAAGCCCTGCCGACGGTCCCCGCGCCATCCCCGAGAGCAGACCAGCGCCGAAGTGCGTCTAGCTACATCACTGTGGCGGCGCACCACCCGATCACGCCGGCTTCCCCTGCGTGCGTCACCGCCACGGCAAGACACTGGCACACCCAACCGCGCGCGATGGCGGCCGGCCTGCGTACGGAAGCCGTGCTCGAGCCTCACCGCGGCGGCGGCCCCGGCGCGTGTCCGGCAGCGGACGGGGCGCCTCCTCCGGCGGAGACTGCCAAGGGAGCCGGCGTCCCTTCACAGCCACAGCTTCGCACGTCACTCAGTCCAGGCGGGCACAGTCGACCGCACGCGCGGCGCCCCCCCCCCCCCCCCCCCCCCTATCGTCCTCGCAACGAAAGCCGGATTATCACAGAGCGCCGGGCGGCCCTGGCTGCCAGGGGCGCCGGCAGCGGCGCGGCCGCCCGTCACAGCGGCCAGACGAGCTGGCCCCGCAGCAGCGCCTCCAGCAGCTGCGACCGGCCGACGGCGCGCAGGCCTGGGTCGACCGGGCACCAGAACCAGCGCAGCGTCGGCCGCAGCGGCGCTGTCGTCACCTGCACGCGCGTCACCATGGAGCGAGGATCCTCCCGCAGCACGGTCACCAGCAGGCTGCCTGTCAACGGAACACCGGCACGGTCACCAGCAGGCTGTCTGTCAACGGAACACTGGCACGGTCACCAGCAGGCTCTCTGTCAACGGAACACTGGCACGGTCACCAGCAAGCTGTCTGTCAACGGAACACTGGCACGGTCACCAGCAGACTGCCTGTCAACGGAACACCGGCACGGTCGCCAGCAGACTACCTAAGAACGGAACACCGGCACGGTCACCAGTACACTACTTGTCAACGGAATACCGGCACGGTCACCAGTACACTACTTGTCAACGGAACACCGGCACGGTCACCAGTACACTACTTGTCAACGGAACACCGGCACGGTCGCCAGTACACTGCTTGCCAACGGAGCACCGGCACTGCCACGGTCAACATCGCTGCCGACAACGGCTTGCCACTTGCACGCCGCGCACAGTAGAAGCGCAGCCGATCACCACACGCCGCACCCAACAGCGGAGCACGCAAATGACCACCGGGTCTCGGCGACTCACCCGCGACGCTCTTGGCGCCGGCCAGCCAGCTGACCACCACAAACGTCGGGTTGACGTTGATGAGGTGGGTGAGCAGCGTCAGCGAGCCGACGGCGGCCAGCACGGCCAGTCGCAACTGCGGGAGCGGACCGGGCGGGGGTCAGCGCCGGCGCCGCACCGCCAGCGCGCGCCGACCGGCCGCCTCCGGGAGCGGACCGGGCGGGGGTCAGCGCCGGCGCCGCACCGCCAGCGCACGCCGACCGGCCGCCTCCGGGACTGAGCTGGGCGGGGGTCAGCACCGGCGCCGCACCGCCAGCGCGCACCGACCGGCCGCCTCCGGGAGTGAGCTGGGCCGGGGTCAGCGCCGGCGCCGCACCGCACCGCCAGCGCGCGCCGACCGGCCGCCTCCGGGAGTGAGCTGGGCGGGGGTCAGCGCCGGCGCCGCACCACCAGCGCGCGCCGACCGACCGCCCCCGGGCACGAGCCGACAGAGTGCCGCCGGCACCGGGTAGCCGCAGGCGGACAAGGGCACGGCGCCGGCGCTCTCAGCACCGACAGAGTGCACGCAACCCCCATCCCGCAAGCGAGCAGTGCGGGGCATTTACGTCGCTTCGTATCAAACCAATTCACCTCGTGAGATCCCATCAGACGCTTGTGACACTGATGAGTACAACGACCCAAGTCAAGCACTAGACAATCATCCCAGCACCCATAACACGGGTGGGCTAAGTGCAATGATGTTCATGTCAAGTAACAGACACGGGGAACAGCGCAGATGCACGCGAGCAGGATCACATGCGGTACCTTTGCGCCCATGACCCGCACAGCCTGCCCATTCCGGCCATCAGTGGGACGATGCGTAACAACACGGGGCACGGCCTCAGTGACGCGGACACTTACCAGCACGAAGACGAAGTAATAGAGAAGTATCGTGGGGAAGAGGAAGAGGAGGATGGTGAAGCAGAGCGTGCCGAGGAACAGCTGCTCGATGGTGTAAGGCCATGTCTCCACGCGCTGCTTCTCCGGGTTCCAGCGGCGGCCACGGAACAGACGCCAGAGCCGCACCAGCCATGTGACCTCCAGTTGGTACACCCTGCAGACAGCGCAGTCACGTCACCCGCAGCCCGTACGCTTCACAGGCCCTACATATACCCACTTCACCCCCAGCCCGCACGCTTCACAGGCCCTACATATACCCACGTCACCCCCAGCCAGGCACGCTTCACAGGTCCTACACATGCCCACATCACCCCCAGCCAGCACGCTTCACAGGCCCTACACATGCCCCCCGTCACCCCCAGCCGGCACGCTTCACAGGCCCTATATATACCCACGTCACCCCCAGCCTGTATGCTTCACAGGCCCTACATATATCCATGTCACCCTTAGCTGGCCGACAACAATGATGTGAGAGAAAACGTGATGGTCCTGTGTGAAACATCATCATGTGCTATCAAAGACCAAAGTAAATATTTTTAAATGTAATGACAGGAAGCAGTACAAATAAAGGAAGCAGTACAAAAAAGACAGCCTTAGCGTAACTTATACTCACTTTGTGGCGCACACGTAAATGCAGTACACGTGGAACGTCGCCAACGACAAGATATCCCCCAGAAGACTGAACAAGAAGGACGCGCCCAAATACCTGAAAAGTCGTAACATTGCACATGGAACCAGCCATAGAAAATCGACGAGATATGCATGTAAAGTAACCCTAAAGTGCTACTACCCGATTGAAAAGTTCGAAAGTGCGACTCCAAGCCCAACATGATTGCGTGAGATAATGTACGCCTTCATCTGCAGCGCACAATGCCCTCTGCAAGGTGGCAGTCATCCAGACCAACGGCAGAAGCCAGCCAGTCCTTGCAGACATGAGGCACGGGCCACAGCACAAACCACCGGCGTGACGTGGCCGCCTGTGACACCAGCCTAGCGTTGAGTAACAGCTCACGGGCTGCTTTCACTCTCTCTTTCTTTCACTTCACTGTCTCCGCAGCAGCTTACCTAGCTCGCCAGATACAGAGACCATGGACCACAGCCTAACTAGACCTGCTGAACATGGGGCCTTCAGCCCAACAACCTGCCAGCCAGTGGGCCCCAGTTCACCAGGCCTGCTGACCCGTGGGTCCCAGCTCACCAGACCATGCTGACCAGTGGGCCCCAGCTCACCAGACCTGCTGACCAGTGGGCCCCAGCCCAAAAGACCTGCTGACTCGTGGGTCCCAGTACAAAAGACCCACCAACACCATGGGCTGCGGCCACCAGGTCCACTGACCCCATAGGCAGCAGCAGCTGTATGCCGGTGACCATAGTAGGGGTGATGAACGTAATGAAGGCGCCCCACAGCTGCACTTGGTACAGGAAGAAGGTGCCCAGGGCGGTGGTGAGCGGAGTGTTGAGCTTGAGACCGCCTGGCGCGCCCATCATCCAGTGGAGCAGGCTCTGCAGCTGCCACATCACCTCCTGCCGAAACCACGCCCGTCAGGCTCGGCCCTCCCGGTCAGAGTCTGCACGCGTCGCATCACACACTGCAGGCACTACTCAACGGCGCATTCTGCAGCCCGGGCACAACCGCGGACTCTCGACTCCACATGAAATCGAAGTTGACTTCAGAATCAGTCAAATGTCGGCGATTCAAAGTGGAAGCGGTCAATGGAAACTAATTTCGAGTCGACCTTGAGTCAGCCGTGTTGGCTGGAATCTTTGGTGAACCGATCAAAAGAGAAATGTCGGCATCATATATCGCTCTTCTCGCACTTACAGACGCGCACCAAATGGAACGCTGGATGCTTTGCCGCTCACGGAAACGCTTACACATAAAATCGTGACATATATTTCTCTCTGGGGCGTCGTGGCCCAGTGGTTAGAGTCCTCGGCTACCACGTGGGGTTTGAGTGCCTGTTCCACCAAGGTCCTTGGTCACTAACATGGCCTCCTGCAGTCGCTGGCGCTCCATTAAAGAGTGCGCGACGACGTGCGTTGTGTACTACTTCACAAAATGTATTTTCCTTGAATTTGAATCGAAGCTGAATCAAAGTGGGCCATGCTCTTATGACCTAGTCTAATCCAGTCAACTGGGACAGCTCAAATTTGTGACCAAATCCCCCAAAGCAGAATGAAACTGGCCACACCATCTCGTGTGACCATCATCGCTTGCCACGCACCAGAGGCTACAGCGCATCGTGTACAAAATATCCACCCCCCTTCCCCCACCCATCACACTCTGCAGCTATCACATCCAGGCTTCCATTTGGCTGAGCTTGGAGCATAAGTCGACTATGGAATCATTCAAAGGATCCGTGGGCCAAAGTGGAATCGATCCGTTTCAAAACACGTCAAACCGAGTGGCGTAGCCAACAATGTTGGCTGAATCACAGACGCGCCCGTCAATGAGTTTACTCAAACAGGAATGTGAATCGTAAATATTTTCATCAACACCATTGGAATCAATTCAAAAGAAACCCACACCTCTAAGAGTCAGAATAGAAGTGGACCCAAAAAAACGGTTCATGACCCAAGTGTCAGGATTCCAGCCTCTTCACATCACCTCCTGTGGACCTGGCAGACTCCAGTTCAGTTCAACAGTGCCTGGACAAAGCCATAATGCTTGAACAGTCCAGGTTGGAATGCACACCACTGACCCCGTAATCAGACCAGCAGGCAATATATGACATCCAACAAATGACATTTTTATGATAATCAGATGATGACCCCATCCGTCGGTCAGTCCCCGCTCCGCTCGGCACCGGGCCACTCACAGTCGTGGTGTCTGTGACGGTGCGGTGGAGCGCCGCCGAGTCCAGATGGTGGCGCACGAGCCGCGTGAGACCCACGCCCAGCGCGACGTCACAGACGAGCGCCGTGGCGCAGCTCAGCCAGACGACCGAGCGGTGGCGCTGCATGGCCAGCTGCGCCACCTGGCTGAGGCGCAGCAGGCCCTGCGCCAGCAGGGCGGAGCAGCGCGCCGGCACCGCCAGCAGCGAGCGGCTCACGCGGCGCACGTCCACGCGCAGCCAGACCAGCAGCCGGTGCAGCTGCGAGAGCCGGCAGAACAGCGCCAGCTCCAGCAGCGCCCACTGCAGCCAGCCGACCCGCAGCGCGCCGGCGGCCGCCGCGCCCGGCCACGGCGGCCCCAGCAGCAGCAGCGAGCACAGCTCCAGCACCAGCCACTGCAGCCAGCCGACGCCGAACGGCATGCGGGCGCGCCCGGGCGCCGGCGGGCCCTCCGCGTGCACGGCGCGTACCATGGCCTGCAGCGGGTCCCAGCGGCCGGCGGCCGGGCCGGGCGCCAGGTCGGCGCGCAGCAGGTCTGCGCCGCGCACCGCCGCTGGGCTGTAGAGCACCAGCGTCACGGCCTCGGGCGGCACGGGCGCGCCCCGCACCACGCAGCGGATGACGCGCGGCACGGCGCCGTTGGCCACCACCACGTAGTTGTGCAGGTAGGCGAAGGCCGCGCCCGAGAAGCCGCAGCTGTCCTCCGAGCTGATCAGGTAGCCGAGACTGCGCGCGCCCGGCAGGCGGTACTCGAGCCCGGTGACGAGCAGAGCGGCGCGCCGGCCGTCGGCGCCGTCACGCTCCAGCACGCCGGTCAGCGAGCCCTGCTGGCGGCCGGCCAGCTCTTCAGGCAGCAGCACGGTGATCATGGCAGCCTGTGGCAGTCAAATGACATGCAGTGTCAGGGGTGCACAGCACAGCTTGAATTCTGCCCCAAGGTCTCATTGCAAGCCTGCCAAATTCTGCAGACCAGTAAGAGCTGGTCCCAAATTATGTATAGCACACTGTGTCCCTCCCTACTGAAATCACATTACAATCATACATAAATACACAGAACTGAGCTTGTACATGCACAATCATTTTCCACAGAAGCAAAATAGAGGGCTGAATCATCAATATTCATTTATAAATAAAATTTCAAATATTGTATACCATCTCAATCATTAATTAGTGCAATATTGCATTAACAACCTAAATTTTCAAAGAAATATGATTGATAACTATAAAAAAGCCATTCCCAAATTATTTGATGCAGATATTTAATTATAAAATGCTTAAAATCACTTTATTTTGCACCTAGGATAGCCTCTATAGCAAATGTATCACAAATATTTAAGCTACAACAATTTGCCTTCACCTTTAGTTCCAGACAATGAAAATTAGCAGTCAGCAGTACCTTGAAGGTAAATGTATATCACTGCAAGTAGATAATGACATGTTTATTGAGTTAGCAGCTACAGGAACATTTTTGCACTGCATGGATGCCACACTAGAACAGATTCTGTGCATATGCACATGTTACAAAGTTGCCAGAACATGCCAAAACAGGCCTTCAGACCCACATGCCTACACTACCAGCATTGTAAGATTTAAGTTCCAAATTTTAAAGTAAGATTGAAGTGTCAAATTTTAAAGGTAAGATGACACCCACTCCTGTTTTCTGATTACTAACAGCATATTCTGCATTTAATACAGTGATTTGCCAAAATAAGGTATTGTTAAGTGCAGTGAATATATTACACATAATATATAGTATATAATTATTACATATATATAAAATAATATAATAAATAATACATAATATAACATAAATAAAATACTACCATCAGAGGACACCTCACATTTTTGTCTCTGATTATATTATTACCTTGTCTCATTGTCATTTCATTGTCATGTCATTACACTGTCTCAGTCTCTAGCAATGTTCCTGTATGCCAGTCTGGAAAAATGATCCAGTGCACCAGATGTGTGCATGACATTGTTGCACTGAACTGAGACCAGGCCAAATGGATCTTAACTTTAATATAATTTGTGAATGAAATGTGTTTAAACTTCTTGAGACATTTATCCTCTAAGTGCTGAAATTGATGGTAACTGTGTAAGGAACCCTCAAATCTTGGATTCACAGTGCACACATGCTCAAATTGTTGCTGTGATTTCACTGATATGCTAGACATGCTTAGCATGTGCAATTGTACTTTTATACTACAGCCAACAGCCTCAGCATCGTTGCATAGTATGGTCAGTGACCAGCCCAAAACACTCTGATCTGAGTGACACCAGTGCTTTAAAAAGCTTCACAGCTGCATAACAATCAGTGGGATGCACTAATTTTAGTTTCACCATGGTGCAATGCTGGGGTGGAAAATTTAAAGGGATGATTTCCACCTGCACATCCTTATCTTTCACTTGATCTTGGACATTGATACCTGGGTGACAGACTATAACAACGACAGGCAGACAGATCTACCTTTCAATGATGCTCAGGCCCAGCCCAGAGCCCAGAGCCATTAACCACTCCCACCCGCCTTCAAACCACGCTTGCTGTGCGCTGGTTAACTGTAAGGCATTTGCACCCGATGCATGCTACTGTTCTTACAAAGCCTTACGTCCTTAGATAGTGCAAGCTCGTATAACGACCGATCTGTACAAGCTACGGACAGTCTTAATGACCCCCGCAGCACCCTTCCACGCCTTCGCAACAACTATTCATCTCTTTCCTGTTGTATCTTAAACTCAGCAGCGCGCCAGGATCGCATTCACGCTCATGGACCCAAATGCAAAGACAGATGCTACTTGCGGTTTTCCTTGGTAGAAGTACTTACAAAAATGGCGTCATCTAATATTTTGTGACTCAAAAATAAAAAGTAGTGTAGTCTAAATAGCTTAGTTAGTTGTAAAATTACTCTAAAAATAATTTATTTTATAAGAAAAGGACTTGAATTATGATATTATTGTCTTTAAATTAGACTAAACGCAAGTAAAGTGTCTCAGCTGGCGCATTTTCTAACACAAGTATCACAACTTGTCACGAAGCTAATACTGTTCGAACACTCACAGTCAGCAGTATTGTTGCATATTATGGGCATTTGATTGGTAGAAGTGGATGATGTGTACGTGCGTGGGGCCCGAATCCGGTCATTGCTAAATCACTCCATCCCTTCGTCACCGAAAGCCTTGGCCGTCACGTTACTTGTCGCCCGTGGATGCAGGATAGTGGAGTATTAATTTCCGCGTCTTGTGAGAGTTAAATAGAACACTTGTGTTTCTCCGTTAGTAGGTAGGTGGGCAGGGCTATACATAGCTACTTGTGGTGGAATTCTGAGATACGGTGTTGTGGCGCAGCGGCTAGGACGAGTGCATTTCCGTGTTGAAGTGTGGGAACTGGTAATTTCCGAAGCTGTGGTCACTGCCACACTTGTGATACAGTATGCTTCACTCCTAAAGTTGTACATGTGACCAGTTTTGTCTTTTAGCCTTCTTGCATTGCATGAAAGAAAAACTGCCAGATCGCTGGTGGCTTGATTGAAGCATAGCAATATACCTACCTGTGTACTCCATATGCATGGTTACATCATGCTAACAACACTGTAAAAAGCAGGGGCATAATGCTTATCATGTCCTATGTGAGGATGCATGTCTTAAGATGCTGCACAATGATTACAAAAGATCAACAGTGACTTGTTCTGGGCCAACACCTCTCACAGCTTGTTTGGATTCTGGTGTGCTTGCTTGTTTTTTTTACTTGAAACTATAACTATTATAAGGTCACATTACTTAGGTGTTGCATTCTGATTCTGATCTTTAAGTTTTTGACAGAGGTAGCATGACATAGGGATGCATTTGGTCATTTGCATGTGCCAACATTTTTAACCTTACTTCAGCTCTTTGCTAGTCCAGTCTGAAAAAAACATGACAGACTCTGGTTGGATCTTGTTGGGCAGGATTGGGGCAATGATTTACATTTGTGGTGGATTTTGAAAATTCTGGGACAGGAATTCCTCAAATGGGGGAGCTCATGCTATTTTTAAGCATCTCATGGTACCTGGAGTAAGTATTCAGATGGGGTGGAAATTGGATGAAGTAATGAGCCATATTTGTCATGACATATGCATGTTTATTACAACACATCCACACAGATGTGCCATATTCTTGTCATAGTTGTCTTTTTAGTTGCAATGCTTCTCTGCCCTGCTCTTTATGTAGCTGTCATGTAATATGCCTGTAGCCAGGGATCCATCAATTAAATTGAAAGCTTAGGCATTGAATATTGTGCAAACCTGAAGCATTTTGCTTGCTGGTAACATACAGACAAGATGCACAATAACATAATAAATTCAGTGTGATTCTGATATATTTGCTAAACATAAACCGTTTTTACCATAACCATATTTACCATATAAACCATATTAACTGTGAACCATACTATAAACCAGAACTATAACTATCACTATACTATATAAACCATGCTATAACTATAAACCATATTTACTGCGAACCATAAAAATGTACCAGACAAGGTAGCAAGAATCCATGAAATTTGATCCTCGACGCCAACGGGACCATGGGTTGCAGGGGGATTGGGTGGGGAATGTAAAGCAAAATGAGAACATGGCAGCTAAATAAAAGCTCACTATATTGGCACCTATATATGGCATGGAACATGGATGCCAATGAGATGCTGGGTTGAAGGGGATATAGGGTGGGGAGGTTAGGTTAGGTTAGGTTAGGTTAGGTTAGGTTAGGTTAGGTTAGGTTAGGTTAGGTTAGGTTAGGTTAGGTTAGGTTAGGTTAGGTTAGGTTAGGTTAGGTTAGGTAGGTTAGGTTAGGTTAGGTTAGGTTAGGTTAGGTTAGGTTTAGGTTAGGTTAGGTTAGGATATGTTCTGGACTATTCTGGCCTGCGTGTTTCATAAATGTACCTATACTCGATAAGAAACGATTTTGGTTGCTTTATTATTGTTTCCTTGGTCCCGTACATGTTTTATGGTTCTTGATAAGCAGAAATATTGTGCTTTCGCAACAACGTAGAAAACGGCGCTTGGAAGTCGAGGCAGTGCGGTGCGGGACGTGCGGCGCTCGGGAGCTCGCTATCGTATTGATTAAAATTCGAGGGTAGGAGCATGATTCTACCTGTTTTGAAATTATTTACGATACGTTCCGCCTTAAGCACGACGAATGGTTTACCTTGGTCCCGTATATTTTGTAGAATTCTTGGTAAGCAGAAATATTGTATTTACGCAACGGCAACGCAGAAACGGCGCTGGGGAGTCCAGGCGGTGCGGTGCGCGCGGCGCTCGGGAGCTCGCAATCGAAGTTATTGAAATTCGAAGGTAGGAGCATGATTGTACCTGTTTTGAGATGCAGGGTGGTACGCATAATGTTTGTTATCAGCAGGTGCTGAATAGATTCTTAGAAAAACAGTCTTAGGGTCCACTCCATCCTCTCTCAGTCCTCTAAATCATAAGTCCTTGTCCTGAGCAGAGAAGTTGGCTGTTCCATATAGGGCAGGATCAACCTGCCCCAAATATGTTACTAGTCTGCTACAGTTTACAGACTAGATGCCATGCACCACGTGTGTGCATGGCGACCTCACACAAAGCCACTCAGCATGCCTTTAACACATGGTTTTTGTTTTGCTTTTGCTGATATGCTGATGCACATTTCATCTACTAATTTTGCTCTGTTGTTATTGACAATCATTGGCATAAGATTATGCTGAAATTGGTGATATATGCTGTGAAGAAGTCTGTCCCATCATCCATCCATGCTGTTGGCTCCATTGGTGTTGGCTCAGTTGATCGGAGAGTCTTTCTTCCGATCCGCCCACCCCTGGTGGTGTGGATTGGAGTTGCTTTAGGCTCTGGCTGTTTGCCCTTGATATATATGTTCTGTGGCTGGTGGTGGCTGGTTGCAGTGGCTGCACTAGTCAGGGTAGGACAGGCCTGCCAAGCATTGTGATACATTAATTTTCACCACCAAACAAATTTTGCCATTGAACTGAATTGTGTGGTGGGATAGTAGGGTTCAGGGTTCTCACAACAAGCATTACTTAACATGAGCTTTGATCTATGGAATCCATGTATTTGAAAGGTTTGAATAAAATCTTTTAAAAAATATTTTATTAGGAGAGCCCTTCTCAGAAAACATGACAAGAGCTTGGTTTAGGTCAGAAACAAACAACTTTTCTGTAGGAGATAGCTGTTAAATGGACCCAGGCATGCTACTTGTATGTTCTTTAGAGGCTATCACACTCAGCTGAATCTATCCAGGTAACAAAATTGGGCTAAATGGTGGGTATTGCTACCAGCAGAATAAAGACAGATGTTGTGCATCCTACACATGTGTTTTGTTGAACCATGTAAATACCACACACACAAGTATCATACACACCATGGCTTTTGATATTGCCACCTCCTTAACTGCAGATTTTATACTTATATTCAATGCTCACATCACCTTTCCTGTTAAGCCATTATTGTTTTCATCATGGAACCCATGACATACAGGAATGCCTGCTGTATAATTTGTAGATAGGCAGATAAAGCTCACGGCTGTCCACAGCAAGTCTAAGCTATTCCTGGGCATCTCAGAGAGCCTCCCCAGCCTCAGGTGTTAACAACTGCTTTTCATCTCCTGGTGCCTGCTGTGAACTGACTGCATTGTTTACTGGGAGATGATTCATTGCAAATACGGCCTTCAACACATGCATCTTCCCCACAACAACTTCATCTTTGACCTTGAGGGCACCATTTCCAGGACATTGACTTGAGCTCTCATACCAATAATCGACTCATGTAGCTAGCATGCAATGTACTGATGCATTTGAATGTGTTGGGTGCATACAGGCTAGGAGGGGCTGTAAGGTCTTGTTTGAAGTGTTATCTTACCAAAGCATAGGAGATCAACTGTATAATTGCTACACCTTTTTTATCTGTGATGCACCATTTGCTTTGTACATATCCTCCAGCATTCGACACACCTTACCAGGTAATTCAGCAGGCATATTTTGTGGGTCCCAAATAACCACTACATTTGAAGCACCCCTAAAAGCAAAGATATCCAGGCACAGTTTGTCCTGCTGTCATAGCATTCAGGGTTGGCGGATTCACTATATGCAGGCTCTCGAAACGTGTTGTCTGCTCAGCAACCCAGCTGTGGTTGCTGCGAGCTCAAGCTGCTGATGCTGCCAGTGTGCAGTGGGGCGGCGGATGTGGGCGGTCCGGCGGTGAAAGGCCTAGACAATGACTGGTTAGTGCCTGTGGGGCTGTTCAGACCTGGGTGCTGTGACACATGGACCTGGTCGGCGCGGCTGACACGGCGCCGCCCTGCCGTCCCGCACTGCTGGTCACGTGTGCTGACTGGCCACCCACGCCGCGAGTTGAGCCCCGCCCAGCCGGACCGTGACCTGACCGGGTGTGACCTGACCTGACCGTCACCCGACCTTACATGAGCACCTCCCGCAGCGGAGCTCAGCACTGCGTCCGGCCGGCGGGCACCGGAGACCGGCGATGGACGCCAACAAGGGCGAGGCCGAGCGGTGCATCGAGGCGGCCAAGCGGGCCGTGAACGCCGGCGAGCGCGAGAAGGCCGTCCGGCTGCTGCGCAAGGCTGAGAAGATGTACCCCACCGAGGCGGCGCAGTGTGAGCAGCCGATGAGCCGGCGGCCGGGCGCCGCCTACCACAGGCTCGGCTCCGTCATGGAGTGGTGGGAGGGAGGGGAAGCAAGCAGGGAGGCCTGGTGACAACGAGACATGTGAACAATCTGCTTGGGTTGGGTGATAGAAGTGTATTGTTTTTCTTTTTTAATTGATGACTGTTGGGGTGATGGAAGTTTTCTTTCACAGGCACATTACAGCTCACTTTACATGTGTTAATCGTGAAAACAGTTTTACCATGGGAATGGTTTGCTGCGTTGGTTTGCTGATGTTGGGGGTGAGGTGGCACATAGCCAGCAGGAGAGAGACATGATACAGAGTTGACGGAAGCACTCATGCCATGCTACGGACCAGCTGTAATGCCTCGTGAGTCAGGTTGTGCTGTGGTCTATCCCTGTATGATATCTACGTATGTATAGATGGTCTATCCCCATCTATCCCCGCATCCTGTTACTATCTGTCTGTACCGAATTCTGCTTGTGCGGTGTTGAAGTTCGTCTGTGCCAAGCTGTGGTGTCGTGCTGTGGTCTGCCTGTGCCGGGTTGTGCTCCGCTAGTGTGGCCTGGTAGTCCACCTGTGCTGGGGCGTGTCCATGTGTACCACGTCGTGGTACACCTGCACCTCGTGGCGTTCCGTCTGTACGACGTCTGGTTCGCCTCCACCGGCAGCGCTGCTCGAGCTGCTGAACAGGCTGGGCGACTCGACGCCAGACGGCGCCGGCGGCGGCGCGCAGCCTCGGCCGGCGGCCGCTAGGGCGCAGCAGCGGCGCACCTCGGAGCACGACGACGCCGGCTCGCGCAGCGACGACGGCCGGCACAAGTACACTAAGGAGCAGCTGGAGGAAGTGCGCAGGTCAGGGCGCAGTGCCCGGCATGTGGCCCAACCAGCCGCCCCTGGCCGCCGTTCGGCGAGGCCCGCGGCCAGGACGAGGCATGAGCGCGCGCTGTCAGTGTCGAAGCTTTACAGAGCCTTACGAATGTTAAAAACAAGGTGGTAGGAATTCGGCGTTCGGACATGACTAGCAATCCTCATAGCATTTGTGCTGATAGCTGTATGCAATGGCTGACGGTTATTATTTAACTTTAGCGACCTAAGGTGGTTGAACTTCATGGAACTATCATTGGAAGTTGTCTGATATCTAAGACATGGTCACCTAGTTTGTCCACCATCAAGATCTTGTTTCGTAGAATATTCCGGGCCAGTTGTAGGATGCAGGCTCTGGCTGTGTGCTAGGTTATGAAATGAAATAGTGGGTCAAATTTTAAGGATGACGTGCTGAGCTTCTTGTCATCGCTTTCTTTGCACCGAGGTGTTCCACACCTGGGCAACAACACCTCTGAAGAGAGCCTTAGACGTGATGGGAAGCTCCATGACTTCAGGGCTCCGCCTGAAGGGACGTAGCGAAGGAGAGAGCCTAGCGGGCTATGCATGCCCCTCCCTGGACCAACAATGGTATGCGATATAATTGTGGTTTCGCATGAAGTTTGTTCAGAATCACAGGATTTTGGAGAAAATTGGATAATTGCCTCCCCGGGAAAATATTTAGCTACATGCCTGGAGAAAGTTCTATTCCTGGTGGTTATTGTTGAGCTTCTGCGGATTCGTTATTGACGCCGGAGTTCCCAGTGTTGACGCCCGCCATTATTTCAGGATAAAGGTCTGCAAAGAATCGTATGTCGGGCTTCTTCCTACTCGTTATTGACGCCGAAGTTCCGGGTGTTCATGTTCGCTGTTTTCCCAGAATAAGGTCCGTAAAAAGTCGTATGCTGAGTTTCTGCCGACCCGTCATTGACGCTGAAGTCCCCAGCATTGATGTCCGCTGTTTTCCCAGGATAAAGGTCTGCAAAGACTACTACGAAATCCTGGGCGTAAGCAAAGAAGCCACGGACTCGGAGCTTAAGAAAAAGTACCGTAAGCTGGCGCTCCAGTTCCACCCGGACAAGAACAAGACGCCTGGTGCCGGCGAGGCGTTCAAGGGTAGGCCAGCTATTCCAGCGTGTACACGTCCTGCGTCGGGTCTGGCTTGCTGGCGGGGATGGAGGCCGGGTCTGGCTGGCTGGCGGGGATGGAGGCCGGGTCTGGCTGGCTGGCGGGGATGGAGGCCGGGTCCGGCTGGCTGGCGGGGATGGAGGCCGGGTCCGGCTGGCTGGCGGGGATGGAGGCCGGGTCCGGCTGGCTGGCGGGGATGGAGGCCGGGTCCGGCTCGCTGGCGGGGATGGAGGCCGGGTTTCGGCTGACTGGCGGGATGGAGGCCGGGTCCGGCTGCTGGCGGGGATGGAGGCCGGGTCCGGCTGGCTGGCGGGGATGGAGGCCGGGTCCGGCTCGCTGGCGGGGATGGAGGCCGGGTCCGGCTTGCTGGCGGGGGCGGAGGCCGGGTCCGGCTCGCTGGCGGGGATGGAGGCCGGGCGATGGAGGCCGGGTCCGGCTCACTGGCCGGGGGTGGAGGCCGGGTCCGGCTCGCTTGCGGGGATGGAGGCCGGGTCCGGCTCGCTGGCGGGGACGGAGGCCTGGTCCGGCACGCTGTCGGTGATGGAGGCTAGGTCCGCGGCACGGCTCTCGCGCGGGTGTTTTTGCTCGTAAAGTATCCAACGTGGCCAGCCCGTTATGTCAATATACCGCTATGATTGGCCACGGCCTCCATTACGCCGTGAAGTATACTTACGCGTGGAAAAGCAGCTCGGTCACATATGGGCTGTCAATAACTTAGCCAATCATTGTATAGGGTAAACAGTTAAAGATGGATTTTGCAGGCGCATACGGAAAAACCAAACACCTTGTGTTCGTGGAAAGGTGCGATAGGTTGAGTGACTGGAAGTATTGGCGGCATATCAGACGCTGAGGAGGGGGCCATACGAGTAGCAGCAACATGTCGGCAGGGCGAGAGCGTGCCTGTGCTGGATAACCTCGTGCCTATGGCCCGTGCTGATCTGCACCCATGACCCGTGCACTCTTGAAATAACCAATAACCAGGCAAATTCAGTCGATGCGACATGCGACTTCGCATGCGACACTTCGCATGCGACAAATACGACTATCTCGCTTTTGGATATGCCTATGGGACATTGCGTGGCTCGAATGCCAATTTGCGCTTATGTCAAGGACGGAACTTACCCCTGCGAGTAAGTGGCATCAACCTAACACGGGATTATCCTGACCACATAATTTCAGAGTCGCCTTTGATTTGTGAGGAAAAGCCAGAATGAAATAGTAACCGGGACGCCACTTAGTCATTTGACTTGGTTAGACGCTTTAGTATCCTGTTGTGCAGATATTTAAAGGCGTTTGAAGTCATTTCGTAAGCTGTCTGCCTGTACTTGTGCATTTTTGGGATCCTAATTCACTTGACGCAGAACCTGCATTTTTTACATGAACTTGAAGAATCGTCGGTTAAATGATCGTCAAAGACTTGAATCAACGTCAAAAGACGTGTTCAACGTCAAAAGACGTGAACACGTCAAAAGACGTGTTCCTCACAACAATGCTGAAGCAAGTAAATGATGGTTCGTGTGTATGGTTTCTAACAGATCCAGACTGTTCAATGTCTGCCGCCCGGTTTTCAGTTAACTTGTTAGCTCAAATAGTGTTACTCTCTGCTGCGGGATGCTGACAGTTCTGGCTTAGCTGTTGTTCACTTAAGAAAACGAATATTGTTGCCGGGAACGCGCCCGTTATCATAAAGTCGTAAGTGCGCAATCAGTCAGCATTGGTTCGTCAACGCAACAATCAAGCACAAACCATCAAAACCTTTGTCGCATTTTTGATTAGTGGCTGTCGCTATTTTTCGCTCGCCGAGAACTGTGTGGATGCGCAGTGCCCGTCCGCGCGCCACATCACGGTCCGCCGATTCGCCATCGTAATCGTCATCATCAGCTAGTATTCAAGATTGCCTAGAAACGAATCCATGGACCATTTTTACGGGTTGGTGCAAAGGGCAATGTACTTAATCATGCACACAGTTTCTGATCGTCGCAGTATGCCCTGGGCCACGACGCTTCTTTTGAACAACTGACGTCCGATTACGTGCGCTAAAAATGCAGACTTTCGCCTCTCCGCCTTGTCCCATGTTGCGTGTCCCGTGCCTTATGCCGCCTGCCTTTGTTGGCGTCTCGTATCGCGCTTCCCTCCCCGTTTCCTTCGCCCCGTGCCTGTCGGTGCGCCTGTTCCGTGTGCGCGCCTCTGTCCGCTGTCCGTCCGCTCCACTGTCGGCTTTCTGTTATCCGGTCGCTCGGTGTTCGGCTGGCTCTCCTTCCGCCGGCCGGCGCTCGTGCCGGCCCGGTTCCTGACAAGAGGCGCCGGTCGGCGGCGGCGGGCGTCACGCGCACCGGACGTGGCCCGAGCGACCTCGGGCCCGGTCACGGTCACCACCTCTGCCCTTCCCACCTGCTCTCCCCCGGCCTCGCGCTCTCCCTCTCTGCCGAGGGCCTTCCGATGTGGCGCCGATGTGGGCGTGTCGTTTCTTTCCTCGCTGCGTGCGGCCCTGATCAAGACAATTTTGTAAGGCGACACTGCGGGGCTGGGCAGCAGACGCGAGCAGTCGTTCGTCACCGGGAGCCAGTCTGGCCAAGACGTGGCTTCTGCTGCACGAGACGCTGGACTTCCTCAGCATGTGCGTGTGTGTATTTAGCGGGGGGGGGGAGGGGGGGACACATGCACACGTGAGCAGCGGGCACCTGGTATTTCGCTTGAGCGCGTGGATTCGCTCGCGCCGGAGCGAGTGGCCGCTCGTCAGGACGTCCCACCCTTCTGTCGAGCTCGGCCGAGCGGCCGCCGCTGCGCGCCCGGGCCGCGCGCCGGGCCCGAGCCGCCCGTGCCGCCCGAGATGCCTCGGCCCCGGGGACCCGGTGCAGGGGCGTGACGGCCGTCCCATCGGGCGCCGACCAGCCGCCCCGCTGGAGCGGCGCTAACGGCGCGCCGTTCAATCGCCGCCGGCGACAGGAGGTTCCGCTCTCAAACGCGGACAGAGGGACGTACAGCGCCCCATCCGGGAGGGTATGTTCAGCTGTAGCGGGTCTGGTGCGGGGAGGGGTTCTCCTTCGACCTCACTGGGACACATGAAACATGATTGAAATAGAATCAACAGATGCGACCAGTGTGCGAACGTTGTTGGCTGACGCAAGGGAATCTATTGTTGACAAGCTCAGCACTTCCCTGCTTGGTTGCAAGAATATTGATCGGATCACAAGTCGTAATCAGTTCTTGGTCTCGTCTGCATAAAGACGAAAGGTCTTTACACACGTCCTGAGCGTTTGCCAGACCAGCCAGTACGTGATATGCACGTCTCCCAGCGCGTGGTTTGTCGGCTGTTCACCGACACGTGAAAGTGCAACTTCATTAGCACGCCGTCAGTGTTCAGGAGCCCGCCACCTGTTTGATCTGGGGCTGGGCTGCCCTGGGTGGCCGGCCTTCCCAGCAGCCCCTGGTCCGCACCCCGCCGTCTGGTCACACCGTGACCGCGTCCCGTCCCGTGTCGTTTCAGCCATCGGGAACGCGTTCGCCGTGCTGTCGGACGCGGAGAAGCGCAAGCAGTACGACCTGTACGGGCCGGACGAGCAGCGGATGGGCCGCGGCCGCGGCGGTCACGGCCACTACGCGGACCACACGCGCGGCTTCGAAGGTCAGTCGGGGCCGTCCAGACCGGGACCCGCCGCGCAGGGGGGCGCGTTTCGTCGGGGGTAGGGGGCTCGGGTTGTTGGGTGTCACGTCGGGTCACAAGGTCACGCTTGAATGGTGAAGGAAGGTGTGTAACTATGCATCGGTCATTGGGTTTGTAGGATCATGCGGGTAGTGTAATGTCGTGAAACTGAGATCTGGTTGGAGGAGGTTGTGCGGTGTATAGTACGACATTGGTGGTTCTGGGTACCCAGTGTGGGGATTCGGCGGAGACACCCGCACGCACAGAACCTTGATAGATTCCGAGAGCGTTAAGAGCACTGCCGCCGTTTTGGCGCTGTTACCCGAGTGTCCGCCCCTCACCCGTCGTTTGAGCGTCACGCCCCTGAACCTCTACCTCCCATCTCTCTCGCAGCGGACGTGACTGCCGAGGAGCTGTTCAACATGTTCTTCGGAGGCGGCTTCCCGTCGCAGAACGTGTACATGCGACGGAATGGCCGCTGGACTCGCGCGCAGCAGCAGCACCGTGCCAGGCATGAGCGTGAAGAGGTGGGTGGGGAGAGGAGAGGAACAGCGGGAAGTGGGAGAAACCGAGACGGTGGCCCGTGTAGTGCTGCCATAACGGCTTATAGGGTTTCTAGGTACCAGAGCTGTATAAGACCAAACCATGGTGTGTTTTGTTTAATTTGGGAGGTAGATCCTGTTTTCAGCAGGTGCTGTACACAGCACCATTGCGAGTGAACGCGGCTGGGGCCAACGTTGAAGCCTGGGCCTATTCAACCTGTTCCGCCGCCTGACCTCCCGTTTGTTCGCCTGCTGTATATACGCAAGTCCTTTTGTGTCCTGGTGTCCATGAATTGTGTTGGCGTTGTGCTCTTCTCACTTTATAATACGTCCGCAACGTCAGGTCTGAACTTCGATTGGCCGTAGGTCTCGCTCTGTTACATTGTTGATGATGGTCTTTCATCCTACTCATGTCGCGCCGAGACGTGTTTTCTTCTTCAGGCGCGCGCTTTTTGTGGGCTTGCACCGCCACTCGCGCGGGGCGTTTGTCTTTCAGCGCCCGGGGTCGATTGTGTTTATGAGCATGTTTGCTCCGCCGTTGCGCGTTTATATCTGGCCGCAATCGGCGTGCGTCGCCCTGCGGCGGAAGCAGCCAGGGGGCGTCGATGGATGCACCTGTTGCCGGCGCGCCTGGCGGCGGGATAGAGACGGACGGCGCGGGGGGCAGGGCGGGTTGGGAAGGTGGCGGCGCGACGCCATACAAAGTGGACGAGCCCGGTGTGTCCGCACGGTCTTCATGTCCCTGCCCAGTGGTCCACGATGCTCAGTGGATCACTTCAGAGGATTCGGTGTGAAGTTGTAGGGAGATAGCGGTTGCTTGGCGCAGGGTGCGGTCGCATCCGGTCCTCCCCGCCCCGCCCCGCCCCTCCCCCTCCGCGGCGGTGTGACGTCACTGACTGCACTCTGGCCCCCAGGCGCCGACGTCCTCGCTAGTGCTGCAGCTGATGCCGATCCTGCTGCTCATCTTCATGTCGATGATGTCTAGCTGGTTCGTGTCGGACCCGCTCTACAGTCTGCAGGCCTCCAGGTGGGGTGTGGCCGGCATGGTCTCGACCTGACACCACGGCGGCCCGTAGGCGCTCGAGATATAGCTGGGCTCTGTGGCCAGTGTAGGGCGGCCGCGGCATGTTATTATCGTTTTCGTCGCTTCGCCCACATCCCGTGGCAGTGGTCCTTTCGTGGCAACTGTTTCGTTGTATGTAACTCGTCGCCACATCCAGCGTTTGAAACAGATTCATCACTCCCGCTTGTGTAATGATGCATGCTGGTATTGCCTTGAATGCCACCCAGCGATTATTTACAAGTCCGCTGTCTTTGTTCCGTTCGCGCGACGCATTTTGCCATAGCCCGAAAGTTACCAACATATGCATATGTTATGTTCGCGCTGAGTGAAACCCATTGCATGCGGCCGTACCTTTGAATGTGATGCATGGCTCAGCGAGTGTGAGAGGCGCGGCCTCCTTATGGTCCTCGGTCATACTTCAATGAGTGTGTCAAAGGCCTCCTTATGATCCTCGGGTGTTGTCTGGTCGGTCTGGCGCGGCCGCGCGCGATGTAGATCATTTACGGACACCGCCTGGTAAAGTGGTATAGCGGTGTCTGCCGGTCTGTCCGTTTCCTGAAATGACGGAAAAGAAGGGTTGCGTACTTCCTGCAGTGACGAGATTATTGGATCCGAGTACCTTTCGTTTTAATGGGATGATGAATGCAATCTGCCTTATTCCGTCTCGGTTTCACTGGACGTCTCCATCGTGTGGCAACGGTTTAATGGGGGCCGTCTGTCTCCTGCTGTAATGTAATGACTGGACCACCTTCCTCTGCTCTGGGAAAACCGGGACTGTCTGTCTTCCACTGTAAGGACATGATGGGGACCGTCAACTCCCGTTGTAACGGGACGGCGCGGAGAGTCCGCTCCTGCGGTAGCGGGATGATCGGTCGCCGCGTGTTGCAACGGCATTGCTGCAATCGTCTGGCCTCGTGCTCCGCGCCTTACGGCAGCGTGAGTCGACCCGCGTCTCCCCCCCCCCCCCTCTCCCAACCCCCACCCCGAGGCCTCCGCCCCGCCTGACTTTTCGCCCTCCGCTGTCGCAGCAAGTACAGCATGGTGCGGCGCACGGGCACGCTGAAGGTGCCGTACTACGTGAAGCCCGACTTCAGCACCGAGTACCAGGGTAGTCTGTACCGGCTGGAGGCTGAAGTCGAGGAGGAGTACGTGCGCATGCTGCGGAACGCCTGCCTCAAGGAGCGCACCTACAGTACGTGCCGAGGGGAGGGGGAAGGAGGAGGGGGGGGGGGAGGAGGGCCGTGACGGGCGGCGCTGGGAGCGGCGGCAGCCGCGCTGGAATCGCCGCCTCGGTTCGCGCATGTTTGTGTGGGGGCTGGGTCATGTGGGGGCTGGTTAGAGTGCAGTCATTTCGTGAGCGGACAGTGTAGCTCTGCCGGTCGCTCCTGTACAGCCTCAGTCAGCCAGCCATGGCGGCACCATTCTGCGGGTACTCCGATACGATGGTCCTATCCATCGGCACGTACCTTCAGCTGCATGTCTTACCAGTGCGCGGTGTATGGTGTACCAGTCAATACCACGCTGCTGAGGTCGCCTTTTTGGCGTGGGACGGCCGAGCTGAGGACATGATCACATCCGTAACGTAAGTGGTGTCATGGAAGTGATGCCGCCAGAAAGACGACCTGCCTTGTCCGCCCGGTAACAAGGCAGGCGATGGCAGTCACGGGCCATGTTAATCATTCCGGTGTCGATGATGCCGAAGCCGCGGCACCTACGCCAGAGTCCTCGAAACACCCGATGTCAATGAGCTTTAGAGGTGCGCAGCGAATCGCTGGCACGCAGGAATGTTTTTCATGCAACATTATCACAAAGTGCGTCCATCGCGATAAGTTCAGCGTCAAGTACTGTATTAGAAAATTCATAATCAAGTGAAGGGAAACCCACTGGATGGAAGAAATACCTGGGACATTGCACCGCACAGAGTTTGTGCTTAGAGTGTAACTGATAGCGACGTAGATATATATTTCCTGGGTGTGGTCGATGGCACTGAAATGCTGATGACAAGTTGTATAAGGTCAATGTAAGGCTATTTAATAAGCATTATGTGCATACGGCTAGCTTCGATGTTCAAGTTGTCACCAATGTCGTTGCATGGAAAAGAGCTGGTTTACGTGCCTGTGACGTCAAAGGTGTTTGCTATTCGTCCCGTGACGTCTGACTATAGCGTATCCATGACCCCGCTCGGTTCCAAATGCTGCCCGCACAACCACCGAGGCGCATACCAAGCATTAATTTCACCCCGTAATTGTCGGCGTGGCCCGAGTTGACACGAACCAGATTACACCCATTAATTGTTGTCGAGGGCTCCCGGCGCCGGACCTCGCCTGGTGACCTCGGTCCACGCGCTTAGTGGGCTGACGTATTCTCCTGTCGCGCGTAATCGCGTCCACCACTCGGTCGGCCGGCGGCCGGTGCCGACGCGGCGGCGGCCGCCCCGCACCGGCTGCGCCAGCGTCGGCCTCTGCCCGCCCACCGGCCGCCCACTGCCGGCCGGCTGACGCCCGCCCCGCCTCCGTTGCAGAGGAGAACATGATGTGGCGAGCGCGCAGCTTCGGCGACCAGGCGCAGCTGCGGAAGGCACAGGGCCTCGGCACGCCCTCCTGTCAACGACTGCAGGAGATATACACGTAGACGCGCCGCGCTAGGTCATCACTTCACGTGCAATGGAGCGGCGGGCTGCCGGGCGGGGGCGGCCGGCCGCGCCGCCCGGGCAGCCCGCCGGCGCCGACCCGCGCCGTTGGAGGCTGCGTGAGGCGCCGTCAGACCCGCGTCCCTCCCCCGGCCAGCATGCCCCGGCCGGCGCAGGCGGCCTTTCGCCGGATGCCCAGCTGCCCACCACCGGGGGGCCGTTAGCACGCGCCCTGGACATGATTTCCGGGTGTGGTAGATAAATATGTATACCGTGATTGTCTGAGGGCACCGTACAGACGTCGGGCGCACGACGCCATAGTATGTGCTGTGTGAAGTGGTGGCCGAACGGGTCGGAATGCTCGAGCCGCGATGGCCCCGTGCGCAGTGCACTGTGCGGTCCCACCACGGAAGCGGGTCACCTGACGCGCGGCGACCTCGCGCGCCGCAGCGTTCTCGTGCCGGGACGAGGCGTCCAGTGGCAATCGTGCGCGTTCGCTAATGGGTTCCGCCCTTCCTACCCCTCCCTCCCCCCATTCCTCTCTTCTCCCAGCACCACCTTCGGTCTTGTGGAAGGTGGTCCGCGCAGAGGACCTGCATACCCGTGTGACCCCTATGACGGAGCCACGCTAACCCGCACGGCTCAGCACTAGGCTGAACTCTGCGCGGCCGGTGTCTGCTGAGAGCGGCGAGGAGTGGTGCTCCTCTGTGAAGTAGGACAGCGCCTGCGCCGAGGGCGAGGAACAGCCGCTGCTAAAGACGGGTGACTGAAGACTGCCGAAGACTGCCTCTGTGAGGCGGGCGGACGGCCGCGGGTCTGCGGTCAGCGGTCAGCGGTCTGCGGTCAGTGGTCTGCCGTGTCTCCGACGCGTCCCGCCCCTGGGGCGCGGCCAGGTGCCGTCCCCCACTGGGCGCCAGTCGGGCGCGGCCGGGTCGCGTCCATCAGGGGACGCGGCTGGGTCCCGTCCCACGAGCGGAGGGGGCGCCGGTCGGGTGCGGCCGGGCGCCAGCGCGCCGTCGCTCGTGTGCGTGGGCGTCGCAGCGTGAGTTCGTGTGTGTGTGTGTGTGTGTGTGTGTCCACTGGTGCACGTGGCAGCGCTTGGATGATCCGAGGGCGTGTGGAGCCATCGCTGGCGACGTGGAATGACTTGGTTTGGTGACTTCCGCGCTGGGGCGTCAAATGTCGCAGCGAATCCGGTGATGGCTGACGAGCATATTGTCTGTCTGGGACACACCTGTCGTACTGCTCGTGGGCACATGATCACGGCCGCATTGGATTCGGTGCCAATATCCGCCGTGGATGTAGACTTGGCATTCACGCATGGCTGCGCTCGATGCGTTGCCGGCGCGCTGACACGTAATCAGAAATCAATTGGATTTGAATGGGTCGGACAGTTTAACATTGTCCGCCCAGAGCGCGCTCTGAAAACGCGTTGCTCGTCCCGAGTCATTTCTTCGTGGCCGCATGGCATTGTTTTGTTGGCGATGTGGTTGCCGCTCGCCGAATAAGATGGCGATGTACTAGGATGCACTTGTCCCACATGACTGCATGAGACCATCCTGTGTCCTGGCGGTGGAAGCAGGTGTTCCTCGGTGAATATGTCCCTTGGTATATGTGCACGAATTATACACGTTTACGTATGTGATTTTAACTTCAATAATATACGCCATATAATACAAGCAGGTACGACTTTGGCTTTTTGGCAAACAAGGTTATTGGTTGATGAATGCGCGGATAAAGGGTGTGTTCGCCGCTCACGGAAACTTCTGGACAGAAACGTCATCACAGTCTTCACGTGAGGCCTGTTTAAAACCATTCTGTTGTGGCTTGCGGTAAAAATATACTGTGCTCGAGTGGAGCTCTGTGACGAGCTGTTAGAGATGCACATGTTAACCAGTCTTGAGCGATTGTCGGTTTCTTCCTAATCAATCGAAAGCCATCTGAACCCCGAAGCGTAACAAGCCCACGTCATAGTTTTTTGGTTCACACAATTTATACCGCTTTGGCTTAATACATGCGAATGAGTTATACATCCGGCCAGAGAACCTGGCTGCTGTACTTGCTCACGTTGCACCGACATTTTTTTATACAAAATATACTGACGCGTCAGCATCGCGTCACAATGTCACGTCGCACGTCTGCCAACATGGAATGCAAACCACGAGGGTTCGACTCAAGCAGCTGCTAGCTACGTGGCGTCGCGCGAGTGCCCACCTCATCCCACCGGGCGTACACACGGTCTGCGGAGGCAAATCCGAGTGGATTCGGGAGCGCGCAACCTCGCGCCCGGTCCTGCCACGCGACGGGGGCCACCCAGCCAGCTCGCGTTCGCAGGTTCGCAGTCTTCGCGGTGCTTCTCGGCTCCCAGAGTCGGTCGTTCTGGCGGGCCAGTCCTCTGGGGTGTGCCTGCGGGGCGCGGCGCCGGCCGTTTGGACCGGCACCGCCGCCCACCGCCGCGCCTCCGTCGCCACCAAGGCCGGCGCCAGGTCAACGGCAGGCATCGTTAGGACTGTCCGCCGCCCAACGTGTCACCGGATAGTCCGGCGGGTGCGGCTCACCGTGTGGTAATGACGACGACGCAGCGCCCCGCCGGCGCCCGGGCGTGCGAAGAGGCGCCAGGCGCCTTCCAGCGTCCGCCCAGCCCTGGCCGGCGTCTGTTCAGCGGGCCTGATGTGGCCAGGAGCACCATGTGCGTTTAGAAACTCGCGTCGTCGCTCGGCTCGTCTGAACTAGATGTGCGAGCTGTCGAGCCTGTAGAGATCGACTGCTGGACGCTTACAAACAAACAAGCTAAGCGCGGAAACAAGGAATGTTGGTACCGTGGAAGCCTGCATTTTGTGCCTCCCACTTCTGGTGTCAAACGCATTTTCCGTGTATGCACATCATTTTATTCCCGTAAGATAATGTTAACAGACTGCATTGGGAGCATACGCAAGTACACCGGACCGCCACAGAATGCACCGAATGGGAATGAACAGCGCAGATGTTCACCGTGGTGACCAGCAGGGGGGATCTCCAGTGCGACGCTCCAGCAACAGCAAACTGAACCCGCCTGGCGGCGTCGCTGGCCGCGCGCGGCGCGTATTCTGACATTCGGTCGCGGGGTTTCGGGGTGGTTTGAGGAGCTCGCTGAGGTCGGTCTCTCGCTCACAGTTCTCGACTGGCCCCCAAGTGGCTGCATCGCTGTGGATCCGGGACCACACCGCTGCTTCCCGTCGGTGTTCTGCACAGCTGGTGCTCCGCCCTAGGCGGTCGCGAGCGAGCGAGCCACCGACCACGGCCTTCGAGCCGCTGAAGACATGCCACTGTAAGGACTGACGGAGCCGGGGAATAGGACTAGGCCGCTAAAACCGCGCCGCTCTGCCTGCAACTGATCGGCGGGAACTGCGGAGCTGGCGAACTGATTGGGCCGGGAACTGTTCTCGCGGCGAACTTCCAAGCTCGAAGCGTACCGTCAGGGGAAAGCTCCAGCCTCGAGCCCATCCCTCAGGGCGCTGGGGAACGCTGCGGTCAATGTAGATTTTTAAGACGAAATTCAGCGGCGTTGTTTTGCAGCTAATTGCTTCCGCGGATAAACTGAACGAAGTGACTATCCAATGGTTTCATGGGTGTAGATGTCGGAGGTGGGCAGCATTTTTTGCGCTGTTGTCTTTGCTGAACTACGACCCTTCCTCACGGCGTCGCTGGATTCATCAGGGGCATTCGCGAATGTGTCAAAAAATACCACGGCCAAGCCCTCACACGGCCGAGCGCTGCCCACGATCAGACACCGACTGCCACTTTAACGCATCGTCAAGAAAAACGTCACGGCGACCACAGCGTGAACGCACGGGGTGTACGACTGGGTTTGTGTTCGCTTCAGCCGCCGCCGAGGCCCGCCCCGGGCCGAGGTGGCAGGAGCGGCGCCTCCTGGCGCTCGCTCGTGGGACCGGAGTTGCCTCGCCGAAAGCGGCGCCGGGGGAGGACGAGCCGTGGAGTCGGAGTCGACAGTGGCGCGGCCGGCCACAGCGGCGACTCACTTGCCCCGAGCGCCCTTGAAGTTGCAGACTTTGCTCAGGCACATGTACCCTGGAGACGGACGGCGGTCACCGCGTCACATCGCGCGTCGTGGCTTGCGCTCAGGGGCCGACTCCTCGTACCCTACAGGCTTACCGTCAATGAGAGCTAGTGAGAGGCGATAGCCAATCCTTCCTTTTCGGCCTCACCAAGTGCACAGCTCACGAGCATGACCAAATTCGCCTCAAGGACTCTGTCGCACAACTTTTGTGCCGTTGCGGCATGGGTGTTTCAGACTCTGGCACAAGCTATATTTATGCATAATTGCATCGCTGGGGATGAACGTTGTGCTTTGGGACCCGAGTTCTCGCCGGGCATGCAGGTTGTTGCGAACACGCTGACTCCACCTCCCGAGTAACGTAATTCATACCAACGGAGGATGAAATTACGGAGTGATGGATGAGGTGAGGAACTTTTGCTCGGCTCACACAACATCCGGGCGATATTTCTGAAACGCTGCGAGTTGGGGTTGCCTCGTTCAGAGCTCAAGCTGGTGCATCCTCCCGTATGAACCAGAATGCCTTGCTAGGGCGCATTCTATTGGCAACATATGGAGATAGATATGACGTTTCAAAAGCTGCTTACGGGCTTCTGACGCATAAAGCGCCATAACCCCAATTTGGAAATCAGTTTCGGGAAATGCCATAAACTCCGACACCAGCTCGGACCCGATGCTCGCTACACGCAGCGCCCACGTGCACCCGTTCCCCTCCACCATTGCTTTCCCACACGGTTCGGTGTGCAGGACAGACACCACGAACGTGCCCACCTCTCAGCTGTCGGTATATGTTGCTCCGGCTCGGCCGACCACGTTTCTGGTGGAAGTAATTTTTGAGCAGCTGCTGAGCGAGCAGCTCTTGCGGTGCGGAGCGTCGCTGCACGGGCCGCTGCCAGTCGGGCAGCACGCCCGGCACGCGCAGCAGCTGCAGCATGCGCCGCAGCAGCGCCGCCTGCTCGCCCGAAGGCTGCTGGTCCGGCCTGGCCTCCTCCACCTGCGGCCCCAGGGGACTGTCGGCGACCGGCGGCTGTACGGGAGCGGAGCGGACGGCGTCGGGAGACCACGGGGCTACGGGAGAACAATAGGCAACAGCAGAACACCGGGATTGGCTAAGGCAGAGAAGCCGACAACAGCACTTGTTGTTCTCCCGTAGTAATACACACACGACAACAAGTAATAACTAATGCACAATGGTGGTTACGGGAAGGGAGCCCGCAGCAGCACTTACTAGGGGACGGGAGCGGCTGCGGGAGAGGAGCAAGCACCTGCAGGGACAGGGGGTGGAAGCGAATGAGGAACAAGTAATAGCACTGACTGGGGTACGGGGGCGGCTACGGGAAGGGAGCGGGCAGCACCAGGGACAAAGGGTGATTATGGATGAGGTACAGGCAACAACAGGATACCAAGGGTGGCGACGGACGCAGCCACAATGGTAGGAGGTCAGGGTCGGCTACTGGGGAGAAGCAGGCAGCGTCACTAACCAGGAGTAACTACGGAAGATAAGCGGATAACAAAAGAAAACCAGGCTATGTCGCATGATTCCGAGACCAAGTTACAAGTGTTAAAATACCGGCCCCGAGTCTATCCGCCGCACCGTTCTTGACTTCGAGTGGCTACGGTTGTAGAAAGCTACGTCAAAATCCGGAGCAAGACTTTGATGCCATGTCCGAGCACATTATTACCGTTTGGTACTATTCGTGATAGTCATGGTAATAAATATAGATTAATAACAGAACATACGATGGGAGACAATTGCGCTGGATCGTAACATAACTTAAATAAGCTAAACAAACTAGAACCAGTCTATCCTGACCAAAACGCCCGAACCCAACCAAATGCAACCAAACACCAGCTCGACACGCCCAAGCCTATCCAATCTAATGGGCGGTGATTATGACCCTTGAACCAAACGCGAATACTTATGGGATGCGGGTGGTCTTTGTTAATGACAGACACGGGGCTGTCTTGTTACATTTCCTATCCCATGCAGTGGTAATGGCAGCGGTTCGCGGTCAGATGCCCCCCCCCCCCCCCCTCGCCCCGTCCCTGACTGACGACTGGCGGACCCGCGGTCGGCACCGGCGAGAGCGGCGGACCACTGCAGGCCCACCCCACTGCGCCGGCGGCGCACCGGTCCAAAGGTCTGCCAGTCAAGGCCCAGTCACACGAGAACGCACCACTAGCGGATGTCATATTCACCCCATGTTCGTCCGACATCGTCAGTCCACATCTTCCCCAGGTTACTGCCCTGATTCCCGGAACCGGGAACCGAGAATTTCAGGGCACCTTTGCCATTGGTGTGGGATAAGGGGGTAGCTCAAGCCGTCCTGCGGCCACCGATAGACTCACGGGGGCGGGTACTCGTCCTCAGTACGTCAGTATGATGAGTGCGATGGCTGAGAACAGATGTGAACTGGCCTTGCTAGCTAAACGAAGATGTCAACGCTCGCCGTTACCGTGTCTGAAGGCCAAACACCAGGCATATCCAAGTCAATGGCCCAAGTAGAGCGTACTGGTATTAAGCTACTAAAGCATACTTAAGCGTAGAAATATGTGATGAACACAGCCTTGCAGATTTTTAGAGGCATCATATACCCAACGAACAGCAATTCACGTGGACTGAATCGATTCCCGAC